AACAGCCTATTGTTGTTTAGTAAATCAACCCCACCGACTTGAAAGTATTGAAGTCTAGCACAGCCAGGAATTTATTTTTTTAATGAGAGGGTTAGCAATGGCAGCCTTCATGCTTTTCCAATGTTAAAGTCACTGTGCAGCTACAGTTGTGGCCAAAATTATTCAACCCCCACTGAAATTGAGTGTTTTGGCCAGTTTGACATTGCTTTTGATCATTCAGTCATTTGCTTACATTTACATTAAAGAGGCACTTGTAGGTCAGACAAATATAACATAACAGTTATAATGAAATAACCACAAATGTCTTTTCTGTGCTCACAGCATTATCAGTTTTATTCAACCCCAAGTGACATTCAATCTTAGTACTTAGTACAGCATCCTTTTACAGTTATAACAGCTTTTAAACGTGAAGCATAGCTTGACACAAGTGTCTTGCAGCGATCTACGGGTATCTTCGCCCATTCTTCATGGGCAAAGGCCTCCAGTTCAGTCACATTCTTAGGCTTGCGCACTGCAACTGCTTTCTTTAAGTCCCACCAGAGGTTCTCAATCGGATTTAAGTCTGGTGACTGCGATGGCCACTCCAAAATGTTCCAGCCTTTCCTCTGCAACCATGCTCTAGTGGACTTGGAGGTATGCTTGGGATCATTGTCCTGTTGAAAGGTCCAACGTCTCCCAAGCCTCAGGTGTGTGACGGACTGCATCACGTTTCCATCCAATATCTCCTGGTACTGAAGAGAATTCATGGTACCTTGCACACGCTGAAGCTTCCCTGTACCTGCAGAAGCAAAACAGCCCCAAAGCATGATTGACCCTCCACCATGCTTCACAGTAGGCAAGGTGTTCTTTTCATCATAGGCCTTGTTCTTCCTCCTCCAAAACATAGCGTTGATCCATGGGCCCAAACAGTTCTAATTTTGTTTCATCAGTCCACAGAAACACTATCCCACAACTTTTGTGGTTTGTCCACTATGGCTTTTGGCATACTGCAGTCGACTCTTCTTATTCTTTGGAGACAGCAAGGGGGTACGCCTGGGAGATTCTGGCACGGAGGCCTTCATTACGCAGTGTGCGTCTTATTGTCTGGGCTGAAACTTCTGTACCCACATCTGACAAATCTTTTCTCAGTTCCTCAGCAGTCACACGGGGACTTCTCTCCACTCTACGCTTCAGGTAGCGCACAGCAGTCGAAGTCAGCATCTTCTTTCTGCCACGACCAGGTAGCGTTTTGCAACAGTGCCCTTTGCCTTGAATTTGCGAATGATGCTTCCTAAGGTGTCTCTTGGTATGTTTAACATCTTTGCAATCTTCTTATAGCCATTGCCCTTCCTGTGAAGAGAAATCACCTCTTCTCTTGTCTTCCTGGAATTCTCTTGCCTTCACCATGTTTGTAACCACACCAGTAAATGTCTAGAAGGAGCTGAGTATCACAGTCATTTTAAAGCTGCCTAATTGGTGCTTATTATGCTTGATGCTGCTCGGTGACATCCACAGGTGTTTTCAATACCTGATGGAAAGCACCTGTATGAACCTCTGTTCTTCAGAGTGGTAGTCTTTAAGGGGTTGAATAATTGTGGCAATGAAGAAACCACATAAGAACCATTTACTACTTATTACATAAACAATTGATGTTTTTAGTTGCATTTGGGTAGTTACAACGTCCTTGTAGGATTTTGATTCTGAATACAATTCCAAATGTACACTATAGTCCCTAAACCCCTTTACAGCATTGGGGGTTGAATAATTTTGGTCAAACATGTATGTGTATGCGGTCAGTTTTATTTTCACTGACATGTATGCTAATATTCTTTTCAGCTCTGTATTCACAAAGTTTATATATAATATTAAATGCAACTCAGAACCAGAATTTTTTACTGTCATTACTGAAAGTATAACTACCATCATATGATTTTTAAAAAAGCCCAGCTACGGATTCCATGGGGGCTCTTTATGCCTCTAGGCTAGCTATATTTATGAATGGTATTTAGAATTCCCACAATTTGAGCTATTTTCAGTACAGACCTTTGCTTACAGGCTAATGCTGTTACAATAATTTAATCTTCTGCTAAAAATTATATAAAGAAGTTAGTACATAAAAACTGGAGGAAAGAAAATGAATGCAACAGTTGTGTGCTCATTTTCTTTTCCTGGGATTTATTGCATAAGCCCCAACAATACTTTATTTACATTAGCTTAATGACCTAAATGCATTAATTATATGTGTTCTATTTAAATATGATTTTCATGTTGTGTTACTAAATTTTTACATAATATCATTACAAGAAAGTCATCTTTTTTCTTGAACCCCACAGATAGAAAAATGGCACTTATCAGCTAACTTTATTATGAAATCTCTAAGAGCCTATATGTACAGCATATACATTAAGAAACAGTGACATTGCATCTATTAAAACAATATAAAAACATGTAGTGCAGCACTAAAATATACATGATCTCAATAACTAGTATTTGTAACATACAATATAAATTAATACTATACGTAAGAAATATTATGACATGTGGATATGGATAACGTCCACGTAACCATATATAAGGAAAGAGTGGTAAATATCCCCACAACTGTGAAAATTATTCCAATATTAAATTCAACAGGTGTATCAATAGGTGACTTCTCTTAATCCCAGTGATAACTGTAGTCCAGTGACGTGCGGGAGAAAATTATACTGTATCTGTTCTGGGAAGGATGCAGCCTGGAATGGACAACCTCTTCTTAGGGATAAAGGCGGTGGATTATAACTTCTAGAGGTCCCCTTTAGAGCTGTGGTGAGGGTCTGCTACAGGTGTCTCTCCTCTGGGCCCTGAGATGGTCACCTTGGGTTCCTGGGGGATTAAGTGCTCGGTACGGAGCAAATAATGGTGCCCATAGTGTAGTATTTCACATATACTTTAGTTTATTAAGTAGTGTAAAAGTATAAATGAACACACATTCAAAAGGTACCCATGGGTCAGTAACAAGTAGCGGTATGAAGTAATAAAAATCTGCAGACAGATAGCATGCAGCCTAAAAGCTGCTAGGTGCACTAACCAGCTGGTTATAAAGATGGCCGCCGGACCTCCGTGATCCGGCGGCGTGATGGCGTGCGGGGCTCCTCCTTAATGAATTTTGTACAAAACGTGCATTCTCAAAAGGGGTGTGCGCCATAGCAGCCGGACGTCAATGTAGATCTATTTATAGTTGTTGGGCGCTAAGGTCAATTAAGCAGGCACCATTTTGCCAGTGGTCAGCGCTAATTGCGCATGCGCTGGATTGCGGGTGCCATTTTGCCGACGATCCGCACTCACTGTGCATGCGCAGGACCATAGGTGCCATTTTCTCGTGGGTTATTACAACCCGAGAGGGAGGCAGCAAGGAAAGAGGTAACAGCCTCTAACGGGGATTAACGACCCCTATTTAACCCTAAGAAGAAACATCTCCTATGTAATCTGTGTCCCAAAAAATGGATGTGAGATCGTGATACACGATCCACAACTAAGTGTGCATGCACGAAGATCACAGGTGCCATTTTTTTGTAGCTCATGGGCACCACAGACAGAAAGCTTCTACAGGGCCAAAAACATAAAAATAAGAAAGTACATTGAAGAGACTAGGTGTATAAGTGTATATTAAAATATGGGTTGCCCTCGAATCTATTAATGATCATAATCATGTTATAATAAATGTAAACTAATCATGATTGCAGTCAATGTAAAGTGCGCATGTGCATGAAAGCAGCCGCCACTATAGAATCTAATATATTAAAAAGTTATCTAGAAGGAGTCGAAAGAGATCAAAAAATAAAAAAGAGAAAAAAAGACACCAGACACTCCAGGGACTACTAGGAGAAGTGTATCTTTAAGTGGCAAATCCCCAAACTGGATCAGACTAATAACGTAGCATATGCCACAAGCACTATCCCTACCAATAAGTTTGGTACCCCACAGAGGAAACCCACATCTTACTCATTAAGAGATAATCAACATGACCATAGGTCCCCAGGGAGAACACGTTCTACCAATAGAGCTCCCATCCTGCTACATAATAGATATGAACATTTACCACAGGTATCTGATGACAATATAGGTATGAGATATGAGGTGGCACCTTGTACATAACAAAAAGAGGAATCTGCATAAGAAAGCTCAACACCTAACATATAATGGGAATAATAATTATCACCAAAATTGGCAGACCCAGAACCAGCACAGACCTTATCCAAATAATACACCTATAAGGAATAGGGGAACACCCCGTAATTTTACCCAAAATAACCAATACGGTAATTTTTACAACCATTCACACTACAGAAATGAGAATAACCAGGATAACGTTTATGACTATAGATCACATGATAATTGAGATGGGCCTTCTCCATGGCCCCATTTTTTAGGGGGAGGGAATGCACGCAAAAGAAGCGTCCAACAGAGGAAGCAGAGGAGGAAAGAGGATCAATTGATCCAAAAGAGGAGGATATAACAAAGGGATCTTTAACCTAAGTGGAACCACCTTAACACAACAGGAACTAAAAGTCCTTAATAAGGGCTTAAAATATGCACCAAAAGCTAAACTTAACACATTTCAGATGTATATTGATATAGATAAGTTTACCAGGTGACTGGCAATAAAAAGGTATTTTTTGAATAAACCTCTATCAACAGACCCTAATATGCTTAGAACATCAGGTTCTAATCTGAAAAATGCCTCCCTTTTTCAACCCCCCCCCCACACAGACTCAATCACATATTAATATCTTTAATCTACTTGCCGACCACAGATAGCCGAATGATGGCTGCACTGCGGCCGGCCAGTTCTGGGCGGGCGTCATATGACGTCCTCCCAGAACACGCTCTCCTGCGCACTCCTGGGGGCGCGCACCCCGGCGATCTCCATGATCGCTGTGTCCTACGGACACAGCTGAACACGTGATGTGTGTAAAAGGCCAATCACAGCGGCCTTTTACCACGTGATCATCCGTGTCCAATGACACACTGATCACCGGGAAATGCAATTGCTGGTTCTCGGCTGCACTTTCCTCACGCTGTCAGATCGTGAGGAAAGTACTGCCGAGAAACTGACAGTTGTTAGAGCAGGGATCGGCACCGATCATCAGGGCACTGATGATCAGTGCCCTGATGATCGGTGCCCAGCAGTGCCACCCACATGTTCCGCCCACCTGTGCCCAGCAGTGCGCCCACTAACTCCGCTCACCTGTGCCCAGCAGTGCACCCACTAGCTCTGCCCACCTGTGCCCAGCAGTGCATCCACCTGTGCCACCCAGCAGTGTCACACAAGTGTGTCCAGAAGTGCCACCTACCTGTGCCCAGCAGTGCCACCCACCTGTGCCCACCAGTGCCCATAAGTGCAGGCCAGCAGTGCTGCCAGTCAGTGGCACCAGTCAGAGCCCAGCAGTTGTGCCAGTAAGTGCCCAGCAGTGCCGCCAGTCAGTGCCCAGCAGTGATGCCAGTCAGTGCCACCTATCAGTGCTGTCTATCAGTACCCATCATCAGCATCGCCTATCAGTGCCGCCTATCCGTGACACCTCATTAGTGCTGCCTATCAGTGCCGCCTATCCGTGCCACCTCATTAGTGCTGCCTATCAGTGCTGCCTATCAGTGCCCTTCAGTGCTGCCTATCAGTGCCCCTCAGTGCCGCCTATCAGTGCCCATCAGTGCTGCCTCATCAATGCACATCAGTGAAGGAGAAAAATTACCTGTTTAAAAATGTTATAATAGAAACAAAGAAACTTTTTTTTTTTCAAATTTTTTGCAATTTTTTTGTTTATAGCGCAAAAAGTAAAGTGCCCAGCGGCAATTAAATACCACACAAAAAAAGCTCTATTTGTAAGAAAAAAATTATAAAAATTTCATATGCGTACAATCTTGCATGACCGCGCAATTGTCAATCAAAGTGCTACCAGCGCTGAAATCTGAAAATTGGCCTGGTAAAGAAGGGGGTATAAGTGCCCGGTAGGCAAGTGGTTAAGGAAATGGTATTGAAAGACATCGAGTTGATCAAAATAAAACGGCCATATAGCCAAAATGATATAGATGCAAGATTGAACATTTTATTAGAGAAGAAAGATCTTGTGATAAGACCTGCCAACAAGGGGGGTGGAGTTGTTGTCATTAAATAAAATGTGAAGGAAGTTCATAGAATTCTGAATGATAAGGATACATACTTGGTACTACCGAAGGACCCTCTCGCCACATATAAACGTTTCCTTAAAAATCTAATTAATAAAGGTTTTGAAAGTAACATTATTAGCAAGAAAAAGATTTCCTGTGCCCAAAGGCACCCAGACTCCCAGTCCTATATTGTCTCCCTAAGGTTCACAAAGACCCCACTAACCCACCCGGACGACCCAGGGCTTTTATCCGTGCAATAAGTGCGTCATATGCAGACAAAGTGGTACATATAGCAGAAAAATTGAGTCATTTACCGTATTTTTCGCTCCATAAGATGCACTTTTTCCCCCCAAAAAAGGGGGGAAAGTGTCAGTGCGTCTTATGGAGCGAATGTAAAGCGGCCGGTCCGGTATTTCTGCCGCCACCATGTCAGAATATCGGGCCGGCCGCTTAGCTCTTCTCTCTGCAGGACCCTACCTGTTCCTTGCTCCAGCGCTGCAGTCTTCCCGCGGTGGCTTCCGTGACAGCCGGGTGCCCACTGCGCATGCGCGAGAAGCGCTGCGTTTTGTGAATGGTCCGCTGTCTTCTGGGACAAATGACAGGTCCCAGAAGGCTCCGGGCCATTCACAAAGCGCAGTGGGCACCCGGCAGTGGGCACCCGGCTGTCACAGTAGCTGCCGCGGGAAGAAGGAAGGATGACTCCGCGGAAGTGGGAGCGGGTACCTGTCAAATTCAGGTACCCGTTCCCCCTCCCTCCCCAAAGGTACGCAGTCTCTGGTAATCTCCTTTACTGTCTGCAGTCTCTGGTCATCCCCTGCACTGTCTGCAGTCTCTGGCCGTCTGTACTATGTCCACAGTCTCTGGTCATTCCCTGTACTGTGTCTGCAGTCTCCGGTCATTCCCTGTACTGTGTCCGCAGTCTCTGGTCTGTACTGTGTCCGCAGTCTCCGGTCATCCCCTGTACTGTGTCCGCAGTCTCTGGTCATCTCCTGTACTGTGTCCGCAGTCTCTGGTCATCCCCTGTACTATGTCCGCAGTCTCTGGTCATCTCCTGTACTGTGTCCGCAGTCTCTGGTCATCTCCTGTACTGTGTCCGCAGTCTCTGGTCATCCCCTGTACTGTGTCCGCAGTCTCTGGTCATCTCCTGTACTGTGTCCGCAGTCTCTGGTCATCTCCTGTACTGTGTCTGCAGTCTCTGGTCATCTTCTGTACTGTGTCTGCAGTCTGTGGTCATCTTCTGTACCGTGTCCGCAGTCTCTGGTCATCTTCTGTACTGTGTCCGCAGTCTCTGGTCATCTTCTGTACTGTGTCCGCAGTCTCTGGTCATTCCCTGTACTGTGTACGCTGTCTCTGGTCATCCCCTGTACTGTGTCCACAGTCTGTGTACTCTCTGGTCATCTCCTGTAGTATGTCCGCAGTCTCTGGTAATCTCCTGTACTGTGTCCGCAGTCTCTGGTCTTCTCCTGCTCTGTGTCTGCAGTCCATTGGTTCAGAATATTTTTTTTCTTGTTTTTCTCCTCTAGGTGCGTCTTATGGTCAGGTGCGTCTTATGGAGCGAAAAATACGGTACATCTTCCAAGACTGGGAGAAAATATGACATCACCACATTTTAAACGTGTAATAGTCGCTATGCAGTGTACCTTTTAGAATGCCCTTGTAAAAAAACAATACATTGGCAGCACTACAAGCAGACTCAGAGACAGGTTCAAGGAACTTGTCAATAATATAAAAAAAGGACTTAGAGAACATTCACTATCCAAACATTTTAGATACTGCCACAAAAGAGATCCGACAATGCTAAAATTTACTGGCATTGACATTGACCAGGGTCACTGGCGAGGTGAGGTACTAATAAGTGTAGATTGGTCTCACAAATGGAAACGAGATGGATATATGAGATGAGAACCCTAAATCCTGATGGCCATAATGTAGAAGTGGATATTAATTGCTTTATAGACAAGAGTTAATTGTATCCATCTTTATTTTTACTATACGCTGCTGACTTTTCCTCCATACTTATTTTTAGCCCTTTTAGGACATATTTTTATTTTTTATTGGTATTTTTATAGTTATCCTGGTCCACATATATATTTTTTACATTTTTATAGCTATCCTGGTCTATATTTTTTTTTTATATATTATGAGCATTTATTCTCTTATTTGTCATTTTATATTGTTCTCTTTGCATTGTTCTCTTGTACATCCATTCATGTGGCACTGAATTTTGTTTTTCCATTTTGGCTACAGGGTTCGTTGTGGACCCCGTGTCTATTATCCCATAAATTTTTTTTGTGATTATATATATGATATATTTCTTATGTAATTGCATTTTAGTCCTTTTATATTATTGACAGGTATCATATTGGATTTTCATTTATATAATTTTTTATCTTAATACTTTTACCATATGTTTATTATATGTATTTGGTCTTAGCATCGAACCAGCTAACAGCCTAATTTCAATTTTTTATTTTCATATTAATTTTTTATTAATAATCTTTTTAGTTTACTCATTGGTCCCTTTATTTTAATAAACATGTTTTTTGGTGTGATCTGACACTAGCGGATTCAATTACACCATAACTTTATCCACACCAGTTTAATAATTATCACATTTTTATTAACCTTTTTTATTAACTTATACCTCTCATACTGAGACTCTTCATACATAATTTACACAACCGCATTTATTTTTCTGTCAGTGGTCCATATTACGTTATGTACTGCTCCTTGTTGATATACATGGGATTGTAGCCCCAGAGACAAAACGCTCCACGGAAAAATGGTGGCTGCTTTCATGCGCATGCGCACTTTACATTGTCTGCAATCATGAGTTTACATTTTTTATAACATGATTATGATCATTAATAGATTGGAGGGCAACCCATATTTTAATATACACTTATACACCTAGTCTCTTCAATGTACTTTCTTTTTTTATGTTTTTTTTCCTGTAGAAGCTTTCTGTCTGTGGTGCCCATGAGCTACAAAAAAATGGCACCTGTGATCTTCGTGCATGCACACTTAGTTGTGGATCGTGTATCACGATCTCACATCCATTTTTTGGGGACACAGATTACATAGGAGATGTTTCTTTTTAGGGTTAAATATGGGTCATTAATCCCCGTTAGAGGCTGTTACCTCGTTCCTTGCTGCCACCCTTTCGGGTTGTAATAACCCACAAGAAAATGGCGCCTGTGGTTCCGTGCATGCGCAGTGAGTGTGGATCGTCGGCAAAATGGCGCCCGCAATCCTGCGCAATTAGCGCTGACCACTGGCAAAATGGCGCCTGCTTAATTGCCATTAGTGCCCAACAACTATAAATGGATCTACATTGACGAAATGTATTAAAGAGGAGCCCTGCACACTGTGACGTCATGCCTCCGGATCACGGAGGTCCGGCGGCCATCTTTATAACCAGCTGGTTAGTGCACCTAGCAGCTTTTAGGCTGAATGCTATCTGTCTGCAGATTTTTATTACTTCATACCGCTACTTGTTACTGTCCCATGTTTACCTTTTGAATGTGTGTTCATTTATCCTTTTACACTACTTAATAAACTAAAGTATATGTGAAATACTACACTATGGGCACCATTATTTGCTCCATACCAAGCACTTAATCCCCCAGGAACCCAAGTTGACCATCCCAGGGCCCAGAGGAGAGACACCTGTAGGAGACCCTCACCGCAGCTCTAAAGGGGACCTCTAGAAGTTATAATCCACCGCCTTTATCCCTGAGAAGAGGTTGTCTATTCCAGGATGCATCCGTCCCAGAACAGAGGGGACCTTGGGCTTATTTGACCCAAATGCGCATTTATATTGCGCCTCTGGTGAGTGTGCAATCTTATCATTTTTTCCCGCACGTCACTGGACTACAGTTATCACTGGGATTAAATGAAGTCACCTATTGATACACCTGTTGAATTTAATATTGGAATAATTTTCACAGAACAGAGGGGACCTTGGGCTTATTTGACCCAAATGCGCATTTATATTGCGCCTCTGGTGAGTGTGCAATCTTATCATTTTTTCCCGCACGTCACCGGACTACAGTTATCACTGGGATTAAATGAAGTCACCTATTGATACACCTGTTGAATTTAATATTGGAATAATTTTCACAGTTGTGGGGATATTTACCACTCTTCCTTATATATGGTTACGTGGACATTATCCATATCCACGTCATAATATTCCTTACGTATAGTATTAATTTATATTGTATGTTACAAATACTAATTATTGAGATCACGTATATTTTAGCGCTGCACTACATGTTTTTATATGGTTTTATAGAAGGTTATATGGTTTCCCTTTTAGTGTTCTAGCCGCTTTTTCATTCTTAAGTGCTCGCTGA